TGGAGTTGAAAATTTTATTTATTTTATTTTTAATTTAAAAACTTAAATGTTATTTTAAAATAAATTTGGGCTTAAAAATGATTTTTGCTTTTTTTTTTTCATATGGGAGTGGATTATGCAATTGGGATGGCGCACCTCTTTTCTATTTATCTCTCCATACCTAACATAAATTTTAGGTTAAATGTTAAATTTAGTCCCTCAACTTTAAGAAATACACATTTTTGATCCTTTAACTCTAACAAATGCACACCGTTAGTCCTTCTGTTAATTTCGGCCGTTAACTCTGCACATGTGGCATTTTTTATATTTTTTTTGATGATGTGGAGCCTAAAATTTTAAAAAGTAATGACATGGACAAAACATTATGCCATGTTCAAACAAAGAACATTTTCTCAACATCCAAACACCCTTTTAGCCAAACAAATTGCTGGTGATGTTCTTTCCATTTTGAACATTGAAATCATTTAAACCATACTTAAGAAATATGAAGAAAAGGATCTCAAAAATCCCTTACAACCTGCAATTTACATAAAAATCTCTTCAAACAAATATATAACAAAAAAAAAAAATGAAAAAGCGAAGCTGGGTTCATCGAACCCAACAGATCTGGGTTCCTTGAACCCCACCAATTGGGTTCCATCGAACCCGAGCTGGGTTCAGTGGAACCCAGTTGCTGGGTCCCTTGAACCCAGCCATCTGGGTTCAAGGGAACCCAGTTGCTGGGTTCGCTGGGTTCCATCGAACCCAATCAAAACATAAGAAAAATAAGGAGGAAACTTAATACTCATTTAACTCTAAAATCATAACATCTCATAAACCTAAATCGTAATATGTTTCCGTAGCGTAACATCCTAGTCACTAAGCACTCCTAACAAGTACTGGGTTCAAGACTCAGTATGATCAGTTGTTTAAGTTACCGAACCCAGGCTTTGCGGATCCTCAGACATATATGAAATGGAATAAAGATGGACCAAGCTACTTATGGATGTAACCACAATTAACATCACTACGGTCAGGCTATTGAACACGGAGTCAAAAGTGAATTACGAGTCGAACCAATTTGCGAATCGAGCAAGCTCCCCTTGCATGCAATGATGTGGTGGTGAATCAAGTTGGTGAGCCGTGTGATGGGAAACCTTCCGGCACGGTTCGGAGAGCACTGAAGGGTTCCGCCAAACCCAATTTGCTGGGTTCCCTTGAACCGAGATGGCTGGGTTCAAGGGACCCAGCAACAGAGGAAGAAGAGGAAGAAAGAAGAAAAAAAAAAGAAAGGAAGAAGATGAATCGAGAGGAAGAAGAGGAAGAAAGAAGAAAAAAAAAAAGAAAGGAAGAAGATGAGTCGAGCTTTTTTTATTTTTTATTAAAAATATAAATCCTAAACAAATTTAATTTATGAGTTGACATGAACACGTCATCAAAAAAAATTCTAAATCAGCACTTTTTAATGTTGTTTTTGGCATATCATAAAAAAAAACATAAAAAATGCCACATGGCGGACTTAACGGCTCAAATTGACAGAAGGACTAACAGAGTGCATTTCGTATAGTTGAGAGATCAAAAAAGTGCAAAAAATTGTTAAAGGACCAAAAATGTGCAACTCACTAAAGTTGAGGGACCAAATTTAACATTTAACCTAAATTTTAAACCTCATGTCTTAAATTTAAAGTTTTAATTTTTTAATCAGTTAAATTATCTAACTGACTAGTGTACTTCTTTCCTTCTTAAAGGGATGACCCGGTGGAAATTAAAGGAAAGAGAGGTACAGACTCTCTTGCTGCTTTTTCTAATTTGCTCTGCCTTTTTTTTTTGTTCGTTTTAATTTTCTTTTTTTTTTTCCATTTTTCATTTTTTATGAAAAAAACACAATTGAGTTTTATCCCTTTTATCTCAAAATAAC